TTATCCTGTTCCAAGATCCTGTAAAAAGATACATCGTTTTGTGAGTTTGGCTTCTTATTTTCGTCGTTTTATCCCAGATTTTTCAATTATTGCTAAACCCCTTTATGAATTAGTTAAGAAAAATGCAGTATTTAAATTTGAGTCTGAGGAGCGTGAATCTTTTGAGTTATTGTAACAGAAAATAGCAACTAAATCAATCCTATCAATTTATTCTCCTATGCTTGAAATGGAACTTCATTATGATGCCTGGATTTGGAGTTATTTTGCTGCAAAAGCAGGAAGATGGTGTTTTAAGGCTGTTTTTTTTTATTATAGTCATAAGACGAGTCCTGCTGAGACGAATTATCATAGTTTTGAGCTGGAGACCCTTGCATTTATTTATGCTATAAAACGATTCCATGTTTACCTTTATGGTATTCACTTCAAGATAGTAACAGAGTGTAAAAGTTTCAAATTAACTTTAAGTAAACAACAAATTAACCACAGGATTGCCAGATGGGCTTTGTTTTTGCAGAGCTACGATTTTGAAGTTGAACATCGACCTGGAAAGCGAATGGGTCACGTAGATGCACTTAGTAGGTGTCATAGTATTTTGATTGTAGAGGGAAGTACATTTGAGCAAATTCTTACTGTTAAACAGAATCAGAATCCAGAAATTGTTAAAATTATAGAGAAATTGGGAGAGAGAGAAGATAAGTTTTTTGAGATTAGAGATGGACTTGTTTATCGTAAGGGTGTGAATGGAAAGTAGTTGTTTTATGTTCCCAGACTAATGGAGAGCAATGTTATTAGAACTTTGCACGACGATATGGCTCATGTCGGACTGCAAAAAGTTGTGCGAAATTTGTCTAAGATTTATTGGTTCCCAGATTTCCATAATAAGATAAAAGAATATATTGGTAATTGTCTTAAATGAATTTTGTATTCTTATCCAAGTGGAAAAACTGAGGGTTATTTACAAAGTATTCTAAAGGGTAATCTTCCTTTTCAAACCGTTTATGTGGACCATTATGGGCCATTAGAGATCACAGGTAGAGGATATAAGTATGTTTTTTCAATTGTCGATGTCCACGAAATTTATTAAACTATATCCATGCAAATCCACTAAGTCTGATGAAGCTATTCGACATTTACAAAATTATTTCCATATTTATAGTAAATATCGGCGTTTGGTTTCTGATAGGGCCACGTCTTTTACATCAAATTTATTCTGAGAATATCTAGAAAAGGAGTGTGTCAAGCATATATTAGTCGCTACTCCTTGTGCAAATGGCCAAGTGGAGAGATTCAACCAACTTTTAAATTCCATGCTTTGCAAATTAGCTGATGATCCGACTAAATGAGATAAATTTCTTTCTGATGTTGAGTTTGGTTTAAATAATACGGTTTGTAGGTCTACGGCTGAGACACCCAGTAAACTATTGTTTGGCATTGACCAGTTGGGAAAGGTCAACGATGAAATTCGCTTAGGTAATCTTGGATTCTTTTTCTGAGGAAGATCGTGATTTAGTAACTATGCGCGATAAAGCTGAAAGTAATATTGAAAAATCCGCAAATTACAATGAAAAATACTATAATAAGTCTCATAAACTTCCCAGAAAGTATAATGTCAATGACTTTTGTGGTTATTCGAAATGTTGATTGTACCCCTGGCATCAACAAGAAACTTATTCCTAAATTTAAGGGCCCCTATGTAATAAAAAAAATATATTATAAAACGACAGATGTGTAATTGAAGACATTGAAGGGTTCCAAGTGACACAGATTCCATATTCTGGTATCGTTGGTCCAGATCAAATGAAACCCTATTTTTAAAAGAAATTTTGTTTAGAAATTAACTTGAACATTAATGGAAGAGAACCATTAGGTATTTTGTTTTTATGCACAGTTTTATGTTGTACTTATGAGTTTCTTCCCTTATGTCTGATTATGATTCCTTATGCTAATTTCTTGAAACTTGTGATTTTATGTTGCATTATTTAAGATGTATTTATGATTATGATGTATTTATGATGATGGTGTATTCATGATTATGATCCCTTATGCTTATGATAGTTTTTTTTCGACTTATGATTGTCTTATGTTCTCCTATTTAAGATAATAATTAGTTATGTGTTATGTCTCGTTTATGTTTTATATTAGATACTATTGGCAACCATGTGACAGTTGGCAATGGGTTCTAAATTTGGTGTCCTACGTGTGGCAACATTGTTTTGAAGTTTTGAAGTTCTGACTTTAATGACTTTTGGGTTAAGTTTTGTGCGGGATTGGTAGAAAAAGGCCATGTGGTGCAAGGTAAGGTTTTGAATAGAAAACTTTTATGTATTTATGTACTCTTTATGTATCTTACAACAAATATACTAATTTTCTGCTCCCTTTTCCCAGACTACGTAGATTTTCTTGAATATCTCGAGAAATACTTATCTGATTTTGACCTTCGAGTTTGATACTTACAAAAGGACCCCAAAAACGTCAATATCGGATTAGTATTTTTCGAGATATTCAAGAAAATCTACGTAGGGATATTTACTATTCATAGCATAGCAGGACCTACACACTTCGATGAGCTATATCTGCTATCACAGACATACGATCCTCTTTACATTTCAAATTTTTCTTTGCAATGATGATACCTTTAAAATATTGAAATTTGGTTGAAATTTACGGGGGCTTATTTTCAATGGTAATTGTGCCTCCTTCTTTGTAAGATTATTAGCTTTTTGTCAATTTGTCTTTCAACACAAATTAGTAATGTTACTTTATCAAACTAGTAACATAATGTGACAAGTTATTCAAGTACAAATGAGTGGATTGTTGTAGAACTTATGGGTGGACCTCTGCGGGACGAGCGCAGCGAGTTCCGCAGCCATCTATTCATCAATATCTTGTTCAATTACGATACTAACCTGACTCACTCAAATGTGAGTTATTCTCATTTACTTAAAAAGTACACGTTTCAGGTGAGTGTCTTATTTGAACAGTTCAACAGTATATTGGTGAGTAAATGACTGCGGAACTCGCTGCGCTCGTCCCGCAGAGGTCCACCCATAAGTTCCGCAACAATCCACTTATTTGTACTTGAACAATAACTTATTATATAAAATCAAAATTTGTAAGATTATTCACTTTTTGTCAATTTGGCTTTCAACAGAAATTAGTAATGTTACTTGACCAAACTAGTAACGTAATGTGACAAGTTATTCAAGTACAAATGAGTGAATTGTTGCGGAACCTATGAGTGGACCTCTGCGGGACGAGCGCAGCGAGTTCCGCAGCCATCTATTCATCAATATGTTGTTCAATTACGATACTAACCTGACTTACTCAAATGTGAGTTATTCTCATTAGTTTAAAAAGTACACTTTCCTAGTGAGTTTCTTATTTGAAAAGTTCAACAGTATATTGGTGAGTAGATGGCTGCGGAAGGTCCACCCATAGGTTTTGCAACAATCCACTTATTTGTACTTGAACTATTGTTCATATAATAAGTTATTACTTATTACATAAAGTCAGAATTTGTAAGATTATTCACTTTTTGTCAATTTGCCTTTTAACAGGAATTAGTAATGTTACTTTACCAAACTAGTATGTATTTCAACAAGTTATTCAAGTACAAACGAGTGGATTGTTGCGGAACTTATGGGTGGACCTAGCCACCATTCACCAATATGTTGTTCAAGTACAATACAAACCTGATTCACTCAGTTATGAATTTTTCTCATTAGTTCAAAAACTACACGTTTCAGGTGTGTGTCTTATTTGAACAGTTCAACATTATATTGGTGAGTAGAGGTCCACCCATAAGCTCCGCAATAATCCATTTATTTGTACCTACAGTTCCACGTGCCAAAGATTAATTTAAGATATAACAAGACTGCTATAGCCCTTTTAGTATTTCTATAAGTCAAGTGCAGGGCCAGTGCAACATTTTAATTAAGAACAGTAATATAGATTTTTTTAATTGTAGTGTTAAGGATATAAAAAAATTATTTACGAGAAATTAATTGAAGTTGAAATCTGATAAAGGCTTTTCTCCTAAGGAAATGTGCTTAATTAAAAATCTGATGCTATTTGTTTTTAGATTAGTGTTTACGTAGTTTTAGATTTTGCCTAGTGTAGGATTTGTAGGCTTGTAACAAGCACTCTCACGTGTCATTACTGCTGTAAGATATACCTTCAAATAAAATAAATAAATAAATAATTTCATCTCATAATATTTAAATAAATTAAATTTTGGTATACACAACATAAAGCGTCAACATAAATTTCCGCTTAACTGCTTTTAAAGCGACATAAAATGTTCTCTAGTATCTGGTAAAAGTTTGCGCAGTGCCTACGCCATAAAACACATTTAGATAGTAAAACATGTATGCCGGAAATTTTTATTTTCTTTGGGAAGCTATGTAGTGACAACAACTAACTTTGTAATCCTACAACATACATTCTAATAATTATTACGCTGATCCAAATCACAACACTCATGCACCCGTTTAACCTCAAACTTTCCAAAGTTTGCCGCACTTTACACAAGCAAACTCGGTCTATTATTACCTACTAACTTAAATTTGCTTGTTTAAAGTTGTAATTTCGCCCACTAACTAATGTTGGCTTTGCAATGTGGAAAACTTGTTTAACTATTTATAATAATTTTTTGTTTTATTTCTGCAAAGTCCAAGGCTACAGGGAATTCCAAATCCTATTCTCAAAGTACGAAAGAAAACAACAAGGGTGGCCCCAGTCCTAAAGAGGGCTCTTAAAACTAATGTACCGTTAATGTATATTTTTAGGGATTTTGTCAAAGAAAATAAGGGGACATGAGAACTGAATCAGAAATATTTTGAATATTTTATGTATTCATTTTGCTCGAATCATCCTCAATAGTTGGGTGTATTCATTCAAACTGGCCCTACTTCAATTAATTGAAGTAATTGCTCAAAAACTTCCACATAATATAAGAAAACTTCTAGGAAACTTCAACGAGATAATTTCTATTGTTACAGCATGCAGACAAATGGAATTCGGTGTTCAAGCCATATTCGGACCATCTGACCCAATTCTAGGAGCTCACATACAAAGCATATGCGAAGGTAAAGTTCTAGCAACAACTTGAAATAATTGTAATAATTCAATTTGTTGCAGCTTTGGATGTGCCTCATTTGGAAGCACGAGTGGACTTTGAACCAGCTTCGAAGCAACTCAGTATAAATTTGCATCCGAGCCAAGAGAACATGAACAGGGCATTCAAGGATTTAATGTCGTTTTTAAATTGGACGAAAGTGGCGATAATTTACGAAGAAGATTATGGTGAGCAACGAGTTTCAAAATAACTGAAATTCGGTTTTTTATTGGCGGGATTATTTTAGCAAAAGTCCAGCAGCAAAATTAGTTGTTCCATCCATCCAATTAGTTTCCCTAACATTTCGCAAACGAAGTTTTAATCCGGAAACTATGTCCAGAATATTTCTCTGTGGAATTTGACGTATCCCTAGTAATTTTATTAAAAAGAATACTTTGAATAGTCGGTTGTAAAATGGAAAATATTCCGGTTATAATTTGCACTTGAAAAAAAATAATTGTATTGCCGATTATCGTTTTTTCCAATCCATGCAGAATACAAACATTCGGTTCAGGTTTTCGATAAATTAACCCTGAAATCGGTCGACTCGACAAATTTTCGCGGTGCTCCCTACGCGAAATCCGCAAATAAATAAATCATCACCGTTCGATTGACTGAGTTAAATCTTCAGGGAGTTTCCATCTGGTATTTACGAGCTTGTAGCGATCAATTTGGAACTCTATAAATGTTGGATTTACTTTTGAACTTTTGAAGAATATTTTTATTTTTATTGGAGAGATGCGGTACATTTGCGAAAGAGCCATTTAAGGTCTAAAAGGTCACAAGCATTTGACAGTATCGAGATATTCTGAGAAAACTTTCTAAGAAGAACCAGGAAGATTCTCAGATACCTTTGCAAATTTGTAATAATTGTGAATTCAGGATCTAAAGTTTTAGAGCTTTTAAGGCTCACAGAATTCAAAATCCTAAGATCCGCAGAGCATTCATGTAAAAAAAAAAACAGACCGATTTAGGATCTGAATATTTTAAGAATCTGTGGTGATTTTAGCAATCTTCTCTCAAGTTCCCAGAATTTAAGATCGTGAGTGGGTAATCTCAGAGGAAATCAGACAATTTGCCATATATCGATTAAGGATCCTAAAATTCATGATGAGTGAAAGTGTTGAAAGGTGTTTTTCACCTAAAACTTAGTTGTTACGTTACATTATGTAAGTTCTTCATTGGAAAAATAACGATATATAGATGAAAAGATAAAAGGTATGATATACATTTAGGAAAATCTTTATTACCTTATAACAATGTAAATCCGCCCTGAAAGCTTTCACTAAAACAAGATCCTTTTCATACTCGATTAAACAATATGTATAAGCTCTTGATGATAAATTGCTACTACGTGTTGAGCAATAGCTTAATATAGTTTCGGCAATTTGCTTAGTCATTGATGGGTTTTATATAGAACATCAGGGATGGCCGAAGGAGCATATAAATATCTCGTTGTTTACAGGATTATTCAAGCTACAAGACTTGGTGAAAGCGCCCGGGGTGATCAAGACGGAAATGTATATCCGACAAGCCAACCCAACTACTTACCGACAAGTATTGAGAGAAGTGAGGCAAAAGGAAATTTTCAAGCTGATTGTGGACACGAATCCTAGAAATATTCAACAGTTTTTTAGAGCGGTAAGCTTTTGTGTTTGTATTTTCGCAAAACATTTCCCTAATTATTTTAAAAGCCTTCGGGTAACGTCTGTTTTGAAGCAACATTTTATGTAATAATTTTATTCAGGCTTTCTTTTGCATTCATTTAACAAAGCCCTAGGCCAACTTTCCGTGAATTTTAATGTACAAAATCCTCCTTTAATTACCTAATAGTCTATTATTTGCTCGGCCCAAAATTGAAATTCTGCATACAAATAATTTGATGCGCGCGGTTAGATTTTCGTTGAAGTAATGCATCCTAAAAGGTTATATTGTTCAAACTTTGGAGCAGCTTGGCATCCCATTAGCGTTCCAAGGATTTTACTTAAAATATAATAGGGCGGTTGTAGAGTGATGTAGTTGCCGAGACGTGTTTGAGCTTGTATTAAATTTACAAGTCGGCGTTTGAACAAATTACGCTTCGTCTCATAAATCAGGAAGGGGGTTCATAGTTGCATTTTGGACGCGATCAAGTACCAATTTGTTAATATAGTTTGAGAATGTTTAAAGTGTTTTCTACTCTGATAATATTGTTGTATGTAGGATATTAGGGCATCTCCCTTCGGTTAATTAAGCCCAATCGTCTTCCAAAAGAGGTTCATGGGCTTCAGGAAAATCATTGATCACGTTACATTTAAATAACATTCCGTTGCAAGTTGAACGAATGATTGAATTATTAGTTCGTACGTACAAGGAACCTAAACCCAGGGAAGGTCAATGTCAACGACAGTTCACTGGTAATTATTGGAATTAAATTAGCGATCACGCGCCATGGTAGCTTGATTAATATAAAATAATGGTTTTTGGAAGATGAAGGGGTAGTCTACAGATGAAAAATTATCAATGTGATCATTATTAGTGCCCATGCCCATAACTGACACGTATTTGTGATACACTTACCAATTTTTTTACTTGGCTCTAGTTTTGATTCTCACCCTCTCCTACCCCCAGGTCCGACAATATCTCTATCACACACCTGTAAATTTTATAGTTTTAAAGTACCTGTACTGCACCAGAACTCAGAGAACACTTTTGTAGTTTATGCACCTTGGACTATAAATGAAAAACGATTAAATTGGTAAAAAAAATCGAGTTCAGTAAATTCTCTCATGGGGAATGCAGAAGTAGAAACGTGTTTAATGGTCATGCCGTTCCATATGGTCCTATCAGTATCATGTAATATAAATTTACACTACTTTGTATAAGAATTATACGAGTAGTATTAGTATTCTGTCTTTTCGTTATTTGTGGTCAGTTCTAAGCTCTATTACTTTATGTTGCTATTCTCCATCTTTATTCTTTGATAATAATCGGGACAGTCCGGCCCTCAACAGGAAGTCCGGCGCTTGCGCCATAGGCCACCATATAATTCAGTTTTGCGCGTGCGTGGGGATGGCAATGATATATCGATGTTTTGTAAATATCAAAATATTACTCAAATATATTAATATATGTATTTTAATCGATATTTTACATTCGTTGTATCGAAAAAAATATCGATATAATCTTATCAGAATATCGGAACTTTTATAATAAATCTGTTTCCGCAGAAATCATTGGTCCAAAGGGCCAACAACTAGTTCCCTGACTATTTTCAACCAATGGAATTTGCTCTGACTGGTTTGTGATTTCTCCGGAAACAGACTTAATAATGCCTTCGCTCGTGCGCATAGCTCATTGGTTGACAGTGACAGTCTGACAGTTGACAGAGGCGGCTAAAATATAAGAAAACGTCAGTTAGGGCGTGTGCGTAACAATTCAATGAGGAAAAGATACTTTCCGCAAAATTATTTTACTTTTCCACACTAGTGCCGGAAAAGTGATATTTTCAAGGTCTAAAATGCGTGCATGAAAATGCACTTTTCGCACGCTTGTAGAATAAATTTTATTCTCAGATAGTTCCAATTTTTTGTTCCGGAAGTCGTTCGCGGTAGAATAAAATCATGCACTGCCGCATTATTAGGTATGCGCTCTAGAACAATTTTGTAATAGTTCTTAAATCTGTTCAGTGATCCGCGAACAAGCTCTTTTGAGAAATCTAGAACCGGCAAAACTGATTCAGAATCAACCCGGAACTGATTCAAGTTGAACGACTTCAAATTTGAATCGCGGATAATTCCGAATCAGTTGTGGAATCGTCCTTATTATGCTCTGTTCAGGGTACATACATAGGTACTGAACCTGTTGGAACTCCAGTTCTGAATCAATTTGGAACCGATTCTAGTTGAATCGCGAACAGAGAAATTCAATTTATAAAAATTCTGAATTTTAGCGATGGTCAATATTTGAACTGCACTTCGGAATCAGTTCTGAATCCCAAATTTATTCTCAGATTGTTCCGATTTTTTGTTTCCGAAGTCGTTCACGGTAGAATAGAATCATGTACTAATGCATTATTAAGTATGCGCTCTAAAACAATCCTGTAATAGTTCCGGAATTGGTTCAGTGATCCGCGAACAAGCTTTTTTGAGAAATCTAGAACCGACAAAACTGATTCAGAATCGACCCGGAACTGATTCTAGTTGAACAACTTCAAATTTGAATCACGGATAATTTCGAATCAGTTCAGGAATCGCCCTTATTATGCTCTGTTCACGGTACACACATTGGTACTGAACCTATTGGAACTCCAGTTCTGAATCAATTTGGAACCGATTCTAGTTGAATAGCGAACAAAGAACTTCAACTTATAAAAATTCTGAATTTTAGTGATGGTCAATATTTGAGCTGCACTTCGGAATCAGTTCTGAGTCCCAAATTTTTTCTCAGATTGTTCCGATTTTTTGTTTTTGACGTCGTTCACGGTAGAATAGAATCATGAATTAACGCATTATTAGGTATGCGCTCTAGAACAATCCTGTAATAGTTCCTGAATCAGTTCAGTAATCCGCAAACAAACTTTTTCGATTATTCTAGATCCGGCAGAACTAATTCTAGAATCGATCCGGAACCAATTCCAGTTGAACAGCAAACAAAGAATGCAACCAAAACAAGGCTAAAATCACGACAAGTAGAATTCTACTTTTATGAGGTCACTCTCGACCTATTTATCGCGTAAAGTACAGACGATAATGATAGTTGCTTGGCAACCTGACGTCATTAAAGACTTTAGTAGAATTCTACTTGTCGTGATCTAAGTGATGACAACCTCCTCAACCTTCCATGTTAGTATGAAATTAATCCTATGTAGGTACATCATTTTGCTGAGACCCAGATGACCACAGGTTGGTGATGCATGCAATTCCCATGAGTGGCCCAAATTCGAGCCTTATCATTGTGATCTCGAAAACCGTAAGAGATATGGGATCGGTTAAATTATGGCAAAGTTGCGCAATTTTATGACCAATAGAATGCCGTTTTGAAATTAGAAAGATTCCGAATATTTCCGGAGATATTCGGAAAAAACCAAAAATTTGTAACATCGTTTTTATTTTAATCTGGGGTTATTTGAAAAGCAATTTTAAAATAAATGTCACTTCATCATTGTCATTGTAACGCTACTTTGGTTTTTCGGACGGTTGAGGGGTTTTCGGAAAACTCGGGCGCCACCCTTAGGATTATAGTGGTTAATGGCCCACGTGCTTCAGGTAGCTTTTAACAGTGACACGGAAAACCAGAGGTCAATATACGCATCCCCAAAATGAAATTCAAAAACGTAACCAATAAATTAAATTTATTAGGTCGAAAAATAATAGATGCAAAATGATAAAGAGTAATATTCAATGAACTAACGAAATGACGAAAATAGAGAGAGCGCGAATGTGTAAACAAATACTAGCGTGCCTTTAAGGCTATGCGGTGGTAAATGCGAAAGCTTATACGGCACAGTTACGCGGCCCGGCACGGTAACGGTACGCGGGGGTGAAAAGCTCTGCAGGTCCACTCTCGGGGGATCCTTCAGCCGTCAGTGCTGGTGATTTGGCCTTTTAGGCGATCTGTGCGTTGTGCATGATGTATCTTAGTTTACAAAGGCATAAGGACAGAGAGAGTCACCCAGTAAACGGTCCAGCTCGTAACCCCCTTAAGTCCGTCACAGAAAGAATAGGGCCACCCTGTAAACGGTCCAGCACGTAACCCCATTCAATCCGTGTCTCCCCTTGTATAGCAAGAGCATCATGCACGAAAGAAACGATCTGCGTGAAGTGAAGAATACTAAATATACATTGATATGAGGACAACGAGTGTCACTCTGTAAACGGTCCAGCACGTAACCCCTATTGTCCGTCACAGACAGAATAGGGGGACACATCTATCATGCATTCTTCCGATCCGACTCCGATCATACAATCAAGGTCCTAATTCTTGGAACAGGGAGCAGCGTTCCCAGGAGAACGAGTATTATGCTGCTTCCCTGTTCCAAGAATAAGGACCTTGATTGTATGATCGGAGTAGGATCGGAAGAATGCATGATAGATGTGTCCCTGGCTTTACTGAGACGTCGCGACGGCGCTGATGACGTCTGAGCAGAATCCAAGCCAACGGCTTACCGCTTATCTCGGTGGTCGGTAATCTAGGCGCTGGTGGTTTGGGCTGCTGGTACCTGTGAACAGAATAAGAAGAGTCCAATTGTGGCCGCGCGCCTCCTTTTATTACCGGTCGTCATACGGCGAAGGTGGGAGCGGCGGTGGAAAAGTCCGAGACACTACGATACGGCACGAATGCGTGATGCGTTCGGCGTTCGATTCTATTGGATCGTACGGTTTCAAGCAAGGTCACGCGCAATATATTATTTAAATTAATTATCATGTAGAATTAATCCGGCCGAACTAATTAACTTAGAACCGCGGTAGCAATCAATAAAATACCCGGAAAATTATGTAGCTTCGTTACATGACTTTTTTCCCTTTAGAAAATGGTGCCACTTAATTTAGAATTTGACGTTTCGTCTTCAGGCGGCCATCATCAACTTACTTTTTTTAAATATGGACCTGGATTTCTCATTTGCGATTCTGTCATCTTTGGGCAGCACAGTGTGTGCAATCTATAGGCCACCTTCGAGTGATGGTGCTGCTTTTCTAAACATCTTTGACAAACTAATGGAACAATACAAAAAAAATATAATATTTGTTGGTGACATGAACCTTGATCTCCTAAGTGATATAGCGGCTATGAGAGAGTACAAAAATATTATCCAAATGAATAGCCTGAAAATTCAAAACAATATAAATGTTCACTACACGAGTAAAAACTACAAGGTCCAACATCCTTGATCATTTTATAACTAATGAGAAGTTGGTATGCAGTCTACACTTAAAGTACCACATAATCTTTGATCACAAAATATATTTTTTTTAATGTTAAAAAAGAAAAAATCATATGGAATAAAGAAGTAACCCCAGGCCAATTCTTAAAACCTAAAATTTTTTGAAATTACAGCTTCTTCTTCGTTCGGCTATGTCGACTGGTATGGTCTGTTGTGGTAGTAGTAACTGGATTCTGTGCCTGCCAACTTGCTTGTGGGCAGAGTAACTTGTTGAAAGTGGTAGTACTTTATTGGCTGTCCCACTGGCTTGTGGTGACTGGTAGATTGTTCTAGTGGTTTTATGCCTTGCTGGTCGTTGAACAGTCTCATGGTTTGTTCAATTGTCCCACTGGCTGTGGACAGTCATGTGGCTTAAGGGTTGTCCCACCGGTTGGTGGGCAGTCTATGGTTTGATCAATTGTCCCACTGGCTTGTGGACAATCGTCGTGGCTTGAGGACATAGTGGCGTAAAACACAAACGATACTATACATATAATAGCTCTACTGAATCACAATTAAGATACCTGATGCCATGCTGGTAAAATTCCGCTAAATACCTGCTACAAAAACTACTGAGGCGCAGTTGTACAATCTCGGTTCAAAACAAAGTTCAACTGAACTCTACTGGTACTTGAACTTTCCCATTTAAAATGCATTGCTGTCAGCTATTAATCAATTTCTATCAATTTTGACAGCAATGCATTCCTAATCGGGAAATTCAAGTAACAGACGAGTTCAGCTGAACTCTGTTTTGAATCAAAATTTTACAACTGAGCCTGAGAGCTCAAAATAAAGCTATAAGGACCATCTATGGAATTAGGTCTATAAACCTAGCAGTCCCAAGGTGGAAAAAAACTTCGGAAACTATATAATAATTAGGTGCTTTTTAGGTGCTAATTAGGGCCTCTAATTAAAAATTAGGTGCTTCTTTAGTTTTTGAGAAAATCAAAAAAAAAACTATGGGACTGCTAGGTTTATAAAAACTAGCAGTACCCTATAGAAAAAAATATACGAAACGTCGAATTTCAAATTTAATACCACCATCTTCTAAAGGGGAAAAAGTGACAACAATAAAGTGACATTTATTTTGAAATTGCGCAATTTTACCATAATTTAACCCACCCCGTGTTTCTTACAGTTTCCGGGATCCCAATGATGAGGCTCGAATTTGAGCCACCCTGTATAATTTTTCAATAATCATACAATTTCCGTTAAGGAAACCCGTGGGTAATGGACGGGAGCAAAATTTTGTATATTTTCGTATGGATTTCCATTCGTAGGTGGATCGAGTGTACGCCACTGGTATCATCATGTTTCTGTCAACCCCTTCAACCTTCGCTGATAGTATCATGTTCTCATTGCGCCCGTGATGCCAGGCGTTGCAATTTGTTGAGAACTGCCTTTATATTCTTTTCTTCAACTTCTTTGCACCAGACTATCGATATATATAGTAAGGTTCACCTTACTATCATGGTATACATTCATCTCAATATTCCTGGTTTGCATCCCCAGAAGCTTCGACACAACATTACCACGTCAAGGTTGGGCACCCAAATTCCACAGAGGTGGAAATCAATGGCGGTACACTCTGCGCACTCGGGGCTCCATCCAGCCTCTGGAGAATATGGGCGCCGGGGAGCACCTGGATGGGGATGTCGCACACATTCCCTAATTCAAAAAACAACTTGCTCTCAAAAATACAGCTATTTTCACATAATTCATGAAGTTATGATTTTAATTTTCTAAATACAATAAAAATAACGCAAAAATAACTAGAAAATTTGAAACAATGACCATATATTAAACAATCTGGGACAATCGCCTTCTGATAATGATAGGTGCAGGTTCGAACCGTAAACTCCTTTATGCAGGTAGTAAAAACTGAGGCGTTAAATTTCGCCACTGATAATTTCACGTCTGATTTCTCATGGTCATTAAATCGTTTATGATCTGTGCTCTGGAAAGGCTTTTAAACTTCCAAACTGCTTTGACAGATCTGGAGAGTTTATGGGCCGTTGCACTTTATAGAATTTTCTTGAATAATGGATAATTTGCTCGCTTTATACGTACAATTATTGTTATCTACTTATGTGTATTTTATCCTTAGACCTTGGAACATTTCCAAAAAGTAATATCCCCAGAGCATCTGGTTTGACGAGATTTTATGAGCTCTTATTTTACTTAGACTTCTGGCAACTTAAAGAACATCTTGGCTGTATTTTTGATGTTTTTCTTCCAGATATTACAGCTTCAAATGAACGACTACAGATACCACTACATGTTTACAACATTTGTAAGTACATATTTTTTTAAAAAATCTGCAATAAATATTTTACTGTGCATGCAACGGCGGAATGGACCCGATAAAATTTCCATTTTAGAATTTTTAAAAACAAGTACGCACTTGTTATTGAAAAATAAAAATAAGCACGTTTTGTATGGTATTTTTCCATAATGGAAACGCCATATTTTTTGGTAAATTGCATACAAAATTATGTGCACATATGCAAGTTCAGAAAAAATAAAATAAAAATGATAGAATTTTAAGCTAGGATTTTCGAAAGTTATTATTAAAATGCTAAGTATACGCCATGCAAGGATTTAAGTATGTATACTTATTTAGCACTTTTATACAAACTAAAAACTTATAAAACAAAACTAATAAAACTTCATCCCATTAAAGTTTAAAGGAAAACTCTAACGTTATTAACGAGAGTATGTCTTTCTTTTTCATGCAATGTTGAATATTTTCTCGAACGGGGCGAATTTGCCTTTGGAAGCTAAAGAAGATTTTTATTTTGCTCAAAAAGCGAGGAAGATAAGAAATTGCTTAGTAAATAATTCCGCCAAACAATTACTATTATGCATGTTAATTATGCGAAGCCGTGCAGCACTAATTCGTTGCAGCCGGAATACTATTTCAGTCTCCTTTTTGAATAATTTCGTAATTAAAATAGCTCCTACCTTAGCTTCAAATTTTGCCTGAAATAATATCACGATGCTAAAATTTCATTTTCAGGACATAGAGACTTTTGATTTGGAAGATTTCAAGTATAATTCGGTTAATATCACAGCGTTTCGTTTGGTGGACGTGGAACATTCAAAAGTTAAAGAAATCCTAACTACTATGGAAAAATTTCAACCGATTGGACATGCGATTTTGAATAGATCAGGCATAATTCAGGTAAAATATATAGAATTTTAATATAATAGAACAAAACAATATTTTTTTTTCCAGGCTGAACCAGCTTTAATGTACGACTCAGTTTACGTGTTTGCCAAGGGTTTAGCGGCGATGGATTCAGGACATTCTATTAAACCTACAAATTTATCCTGCGAGACGGAGAAGCCCTGGGACGACGGGCTGTCGCTTTATAACTATCTGGATTCGGTGGTGAGTTGCTTCTCTTTTCCTCTCAGGCGAAAAATTGGACAAAAACATTTTAGTTTTAGTCATTAAATAGGTAAAGACTGACAAGAAAAATCGCTTTGTACGTTTTGTTTATTTTCAAATCGATAAAATAATAATTATTAGATGGTTAATTGGGATTGGAAATGCATTATGCACGCAGGCCTAGGGCATTGGTGTTTGGTCGCCCTAGGAAGTGTGGGGCTCTCACCAATAGAATGTTTTCACAGCTATCAGACGAATTCCCACCTCTACCATGTAAAAACTCCCCCCCAGCAGAGCCATCATACCACTACCCACCTCGACTGTAAACCCCCTTTCGTGAAGCATCTACCCTAAAATCCCCCCACTATGAGCCCCACCAAAGAAATCATTTTACTGCTATATAACCGAGGAAGTGATTGAATTGTGCCAAATTAAATAAGTAAGAAACATTTTTGCAATCATTTGGAAATAACCCATTTGGTTTTGAAATCAAATTTATTCGCAACACATATAGAATATCGTCGGCAGTCCAAAAAGGTAAATTTTACAAGAGGCGCAAAAAACCTTTGTCAAGAAAAGCTACATGAGAAAAATCACCGGCAAGAATACACAAAAGAGACTGGACTTACGCAATTTTCATATGATGCCGACGATAATATGATATATGATATTTGAAGAATAGATAAGAATTAACAAAACAAATCAAGATTTCTCATAATGTTCTAATGCAGTGATTGTAGTAAAACTTTTACTCAAAAATTTAGTCTTAGCCGACATAAGAGAGAATCCTGTCAATATGGACCATCTTGCTCCAATAATCATTTCAGTCAAACTTCAACCCTTCAACTTCAAATAAAAGGGAGTTTGTCTCTCAAATAAAAGATCAAGCACCAAAAAGATCCAAAATACAAAAATGTGATGATCAAAAACATATACCAAAGTTCCATTTGTAATATATGCCAATTTTGAGTGTTTTTTCAAACCTCTACAATATGAAAAACCAACCAATGATAAGAGTTCTTTTACATTAAACAATTTTAGGCATGAACCATATTCCTTCGCTTATTGCATCAAATGTTCATATGATGATTCTTTATCAGAAGTACAGGGTGAGTCACTATATTTTGACACCCACCTGCAGCCGTAATTACGGGTGATAGGTGAAAGGTGTAAATACAAAAGTTGTAGCATTTTATCTGAACCACTAGAATTTTCAATTAGATTGAAAAAATTACCAACACAAAATGAAAAAATATGTCAATGTTCACTTTATTCGAATAAAATGCACTTTATTTTCTTTCAAATTCTTAAAGTTCTCGTTTTTCTGATTCAGATTATATAATATATTAATTTTTCTTTCAATAGTTTTGGAAATATCTGACATTTAGTTATTCAAAGACCTATTCACGTATCAGAATGTTTTGTGAACAAGTGACAGGTAAATCAAGGTAAAATATATTCAAAATACTACTATCTTTGAATAACTGAACTTCAGATATTTCCAAAACTATTGAAAGAAACATTTACATATCATATAATCTGAATCAGAAAACCGAGAACTTTAAGAATTTGGAAGAAATTAAAGGGCATTCCATTTGGAAAAAGTGAACATCGACATATTTTTTAATTTTGTGTTGCTCATTTCTTCAATCTAATTAAAAGTTCTGGCGGTTCAAATAAAATGCTGCAACTTTTGTATTTACACCTTTTACTGTAATTACGGCTATAGGTGGGTGTCAAAATATGGTGACTCACCCTGCACATTATTATTTGGATCTTGATGCAGCTGATGAATTTTGCAAACGAATTGAACCTCATGTTCATAAAATTTATAATAATTATCTAAAACATGTGGTACCGATGGTTCCTCTAACAAATGAAGAAGAATTTCAATTTCCAATTTCATTTGCAGTATTTGTGAGGAAAAATTTAATCCATTAAATGAAAAAGTAAGGGATCATGATCATTTAACTGGAAAATTCCGAGGTGTAGCACATAATATTTGTAATTTAAGCTACAAGCTCCCAAGTTTTATTCCTGTGTTTTTTCACAATCTAACAGGATATGATAGCCATCTATTGTTTTGAAAATGATAATATTTATGTTTTGTCGCTAGTTCATTAGAGAGTCTTGGTATATCAATCAATGTGTAGAAATTAGAAGATATTTATCCTTATTCTTATGTAGACTTCTTAAACAAATTAAAGAAACCCTACTTCCAAGTATTGAAAACTTTTATGATAAACTTAAAGATTAGATCCTTCAGATTATGAACGAACTATTCATAGTTGGAATTTGTTCCATTGTCAAAACCTATGGAATTACACTAAGATATATTTATTATCAGATGTTCTCATATTGATGGACTTTTTTGAGGCTTTTCGAAATGTATCCCTTAATATATATAAATTAGATCCTGCACAATACTTTACGGCACCTGGGTTATTATGGGATGCAATGTTGTAATTTACAAGGGTTAAGTTAGAATTATTAACATACATTGAAATATTACATTTTTTTTTTAAACAGTATTAGGGGTAGAATATGTCATTGTAGTGATATTTGGATGCAGCTAATCTTTATGGTCATAGTATGTGTCAATGTTTACCTACAAGTGATTTTTCTTGGATGACTAATGAAGAAATAGATTCTCTTGATGTTTTATCCATACCAGATGATTCTGAATATGGATACGTATTTGAAGTAGATATCAAATATCCCCTAAATTTACATAAAAAAGATAATGAATTACCGTTTTTAGCTGAAAATATATGTCCACCAGATTCAAATAAAAAAAATTAATTTGCAGTTTAAATCACAAAGAAAAATACACAATTCATTATAGAAAACCCAAACAAGCAATTCAAAATGGACTCAAATTTAAACAATCTACATTTCTTAAACCTTATATACTTATATATAAGGATTGTCATAAATTATATAATAACGCTATCTATGGCAAATCTTTAGAAAATATTGATGAACGAGTAGACATACGATTATTAACCCATTGAAAAAATATTAATAATAAACAGGGAGCTGAATCACTTATAGCCAAACTCCATTCAGCTCTATTGTAATGAATAAAGCATGGTAACTTAATTTGAAGAGGTAAATTATTTTTGTAACTAATTGGTAATTTACCCCATGCATCCAAAAGTTCAAAGGACTTTGCATTTTTCAATAAATAATCCAACGGACTTTTCAATAGTTCTTCGTTTGTCTATAGAGGAACAACAATTCATTTTTGAGTTTTTTCAGTGTTGGTGGTTGTCAATAACTCAACTACTATTTTTGCAATATAACTTTGATAGGGTCCTTTAACAATAACGGTCTGCTTTTAATTTTGAATCCTTTCAAAAGCTTCTAAATTCCATGGAGTTTAGAACACTATTGACGAATACAAATGCAGGAATTGTTTAAATATTCTTTAGTTTTTAAGAAAGTGAAGGGATATGGAAAAAGGTACCATCGTCACCAAAAGTAACTGGGACACAAATAATGCATAATAATCTCCTGGACTAATTCTACTGTCATTCATTTCAATGCATTTAATGCATAGTTTGACAAATATTTGACAATAAAATTCACATAATAGGACAAGAGCTAATGTGATGCTGTCCCAGTTACTTTTGGTGACGATGGTACCTCTTCAGAGTAGAAGCTTTTTAACGTAGTAGAGGTGGGTATTGCCTTGTTAGCTGTGAGATGGGTATTGGTCTGATAGCTGAAGGCAATTGAGCGTGGGAACTTTTTTGATACCGTGGGAAAATCTCTAGATCGGCGGCGCCTTTGATCTGAAATTTAGGGAATTTGACGCGGGCCAACCATAAAATTTGTGAATCTGGTGGACCATTTACGTAGTAGAGGTGGGTATTGGTCTGAAAGCTGGGGGCACTTGAGCCTGGGAAGTTTTTCGATACCGTGGGAAAATGTTGATTTGACCTGGGACAACCCCAAAATTGACGAATACAAATGAAAGAATTGGTTATATATTCTTTAGTTTTCAAAAAGTGGAGGGATATAGAAAAGTGCCTCCTCAGGGTAGGAGCTTAACGAAAGGGTGTTTTAAAATCAAGGTTCCAAAAAATGGCAATGAGAAGGTTTCATTTTTTTTTAGGAAAAATTTTGCAGGGATTGGATTTAAATTTTGCAAATGAAGAGAGGAAAGATTAAAATTTATGAAAAAAACAATAAAAATTTCCTTCTGCTCATGCATCTTGATAGAAATCAATTTGAAGCTTCACAGCTTGAAAACTATTGAAGCTGCGTTGAAACTATCACACAGAGATTTGTAGAGGAATCAATTGCCCTTGATGCAAGCCTTATTACATTGAAATCGGATTGAAATTAAAAAAGTTGTGAGCACAAATGTGTGTCAATGTCATTTTGGAAAAAATCAAAGTTCCAAAAAATGACAATGAGAAGGTTTCATTTTTTTTTTTGAGGAAAATGTTGCAGGAATTGGATTGAAATTTTGCAATTGGAGACAGAAAAGATTGAAAATTAAAAAAAAAAATTGAAAATTTCCTTCTGCTAATCTACCTTGATAAAAATCCAAATAAAAACCTTTTGAAGCTTTACAGCTTGAAAACCATTGAAGCTGCGTTGAAACCACCAGACAGAGGATTTTGTAGAGGATTCAATTGTCCTTCAATCAAGCATAATTATATTGAGATCGGATTGAAATTAAAACAGTTTTGAGCGCAAAAGTGTGTCAATGTCATTTTGGAAGAAATGAAAGTTCCAAAATTGACAATGGGGAGGTTTTTTTTTTCTAAGAAAAATGTTGCAGGGATTGGATTGAAATTTTGCAAATGGAGAGAAGAAATATTGAAATTTTTGAAAAAAAAAATCCTTCTGCTCATCCACCTTGATAAAAATCGATAAACCCGATTTGAAGCTTCACAGCTTGAAAACTATTGAAGCTGCGTTAAAACTACCCAGTAGAGATTTGTAGAAGATTCAATTTTCCTTAATTCAAGCCTAATTACAGCAAGATCGGATTGAAATTGAAAGAATTGTGACCAAAAATATGTGTCAATGTCATTTTGGAAAAAAACAAAGTTCCAAAAAATGAAAAATTTCGCAGGAATTGGATTGAAATTTTGCAAATAGAGAGAGAAAAAATTAAAATTAATGAAAAAAATGTCTTTCTGCACAGTCATCTTGATACAAATCAAAATCAAAATATGTCAAGCTGTGTAGCTATGAAATCATTGAGGCTGGATTTGAAATATTAAACAGGGATTTGTAGAGGATTATATTAGTTTAATTTGATCTCTCAAAGGAGCCACACATTTACAGGAATTCGAACAATGAAGCTGGTTTATTAGTTTGCTGTTTTATTAATATTCATATGCCAAAATCAATTTAGAAAACGTGACTATTAGTTGTGTTCATTTGTACTTGCTCTACCTGCTCGAAAAATCAGAAAGATCTGCTAGGAGCTGCTATTCATGAACTTATATATGGGACAAGTGAACGCCGATCTGCTTGAAGCAAGAAAAGCAGTACAAATGAACACCCTATATATTTTGTTATTTATTCGTCCTCTGACAAAAAATCCAATTAATTCGTTGTCGAAACAAATTATTAATTAAGTTGCAGAAAAATAAATAATTTGCTGAGAATTCCGCAAAGCTATCGGTCAATATTAGTTTGCGGTCTGATGTCATGTTAAATATTGTCGAAATATCGTTATTTGAACGTGGACCGGTGTGAAGGAGAATCGAGGATAATAATCCCTAGTCGCAACTTGCGATTTTGTTTACTCACATTAAGGGAAACTTTATTAATTTCATTTGATGGAATATTTCGCAGAATGTGAAAGTTGGACAGCTAATTTTAGCCATTAGTGTTATCGATGTTGATTAATTATTTTCGAAGAAAAGTACTTAGGTTTTTATTTTGTTACCAGCATGAAATTTTGGTCATGATTTGAGTTTCAAGACACTAGGACATCAAATTTATAGAGTTGTTCTCTTGAGAACAGAACCTGCACTACTTTCAAAGTTATTAACAACTTCTAGCACAAGTTGGAAATTGTTTATGAACATCTGTCCTCAATGTGAATCTGCATATTGAAATACTTATTGCTGATCTCAGTAAGCCTAACAATTTGTTCTCAACGTTAGATGGCCTGTCTTTAAGACTCATGATATCTGTTATCATTCAATATAAAACGATTCATCAGATGTGTAGTGACATTAATATCCACAAATATGAAACTACCATGTGTATGACACACATTGACTCACAGAATTGAGCAACAATCAAACCTTCAACTACCAATAATGTTGTCTCTTTTATGTTCCCGAAACAGATATCACTTGTCAAGCGGCCTGGGTAAAAATGCATTGGAAATGCAACGGCGCCTTCGCCCGGAAAAACTCTGTTTGCCGGAAAACCCGGATTTATTATTTCGTTGGCTGAGACCTTGACAAATCGTTTTGGAAGCGACAGCTCCCCGGAAAATGAACTCCGAGGGATTTTTCTATGGAAAATAGGTCTCTCTCGTGGTCGTGTTTGGATTTAAAATGATATTTTATTGCCGCCAAATGGATAATGTACGTATTTTGGAGGTGCTTTGTCGTTTAATTACGGCTTTAAAGTCGGCAATATTTCATCGAAATAATAAACTTGGAGTTTGTTTGAGAATAACTTTGAAAGCAAATATTTGTTTTTCCATAGCTCCGGTTTCCGTTGGAATCTCGTTTCTACTCGAACTAGAAAACTATTAAAACTTTCCGTGACGATATAGGGTTAAACGAACATATTAAATTTTATTTACTCGTGCGGAGCATTGTTTTGGAATCGAATTATTTTGGGGTAAATAAAGGGACGATGCTAGATTTATTTAGTATGATTATGATAACAGGTTTTGTAAAAGAGAATTCAGTTTCTGAGAGGAATATTTATATCCAAACGCTAGTTAAAGTTTAAAATTACCCCTCAAGTTAAACCTATTTCTATTCTATTATACCTTGAACCTATAAAATATTACTTAAACTAAGCATATGCTGACCCAATACCCAGGCAAAAGTTGGTTTAATCATCCATTGTGGTTCAGTCATTGATTGAAATTGAAAACCATTGAAAAAATATAATTTCAAACGAACTCCGGCCGAAAACAAACAAATTATTTCCGTCCGAAATTAATTTGATGTGGCTTTACGAAAATAAATTTTTTTCAATCGTTTTCGTTGCTTTAACAATTTTAATTAAATTCCATTATAAGAAAAAAAGTCTTTACCCGACAAAACAAAGTAATACAAAAACTAATTCGGTTTTCTCTTCTTCTTCAACACCACTTCGGACATCTGTTACTGAAAGTGCAGCAGTAATTATCCTTGAGGGTGGTGTTTTATTTGTCTAACAGCAGGTGTAATTGTATTTTTATTTTGTTTCAGTCAAACTTGCACGGTATAACGGGAAACTTGGAATTTCAAGAAGGCAAACGCTCAAATTTCAAACTGGATTTATTGAAGCTAAAAAAGGAGGATTTGAGGAAAGTAGGCACGTGGACACCCGCCGACGGTATCAACATCACCGATCCAAATGCTTTCTACGATCAAAACGCTCCGAATATCACTTTGATTGTAATGACAAGAGAGGTGAGTAAATATGTAGTTTAAATTTCCTGCAAAACTGTAAAAGACTTGTTACGGGAAATGAAAATCTACTTATTTTAAAAGAGAGGAAATCGTTTTGAAATTGGTTTTCACGTCAATTTGTTTTGTGGCTGTACTTTTCTAGACCCCTTTGAAGATTATTTTGTTTTATTTTTCTTAGAGTCTAGGCGTGAATAAATTTAGATGACTTTCAACAAAAACCCGACGTGGCAACTTTTAATTACAACTTCAGCAATTTATCGCCAATAACCTTCGGCTTTTAATTGGAAATTTTGCCACAATATCGACTTGACTGATCTCAATATGGAAGAAGTGCCTCTTGTGTTTTATTTTTTTCGTGAGGTTGCAATTTTTTTCATAAACAAAGGATTTTATATGGAAGTGGAGGCTGGAAACTAGTTTCAAATTCATCTATTATTAGTTGCTGAACTTTGGTTCTAAAGTTTTGCAAGATTTGTTCGATTTCAATCAGAGTGCAGTTGAAATTTTAATGAACCTTTGAAAAGAGTTTCTTTTTAGTCTTAACTAGAAATGTATTGTTTTTGCCTGATTGCGAATCTAAATCCTGATTTTTTTTTTGGGGTTTGTCTAAAGATTTTTTCGCGTCTCAACGGTAATAACTACTGGACGATCAACAGAGTAGGGTACCTTCTTTCCAACGAGAAACCGATAGGTGTGGATAAGGTACTTTAACTTCAACTGGACGATCTACTGTGAGAGGCATTTGCTTTTCAACATTAACTGGATAAGGATGATCAATGTGAATTTGCAATTGTTGGTCTACGGGTACTTGTACTAGGGTTTCAACTGGAACAGGTACTTTACGGTCTACAACATAAGATTTTTGTTTGGAACTTGATGTTGTTGAGAGGAGTATCCGTAGTTTGTGGATGGTCCAAATGAATATCCGCTATTTACAAAGTATGTCATATGAAAAATTTGTTATAGGAAAACTTGTCATAAGAAAATTTATTAAAATTTGTCACAATAGATTTTTCTTACAGTATTTAATTAAATTTTGTGACATAGATTTTTATCCTAATTTGCACAGACTATTGTCAGTCCAGGACCAGAATTACTATAACCCAGAAGGTGACCAACGAAATATTAGTGTAATGGAGTACTTCCTTATAGGGTAGCCAGCTAACTCTTCAGTAGAGTGGTCGTGGATAATACATAATATAGGACGCCACCTGTTTTAGCCCTCCATAAAGAAAGTATCCGCTCTTAAATACAAAACAGGAAACAGCGAGAGTACTCTCATAGCCAAACCTAACTAGAAATAAGAAGCCCTGACGTTGCACTCTGAAAATTGGGTTAAGAAATTCAATAAAATGGAAGTTCTCCAAAATAATCACTGTATGAGGTTTCTTCAATGACCTATTATCACAGATAGACGGATTTATGAACAAGAATATATGTTGACAACATGTCCGATTCTTTCTATCCTGACCAAATTCCCTCACTACTAAAATGCCACATTTAGTCGTAGGAATATTTATTTTCTCTTTCTAACGCAGGTATGAAGTCCTGCCTTTCAATTACACTTGGCAACACAGCACTAGACTAAACTCGGCCTCCTTCTTGTCGTAGTAATACGTTCCTTTCTGGCCCAGAGTATCTTGTTGTCTCTATCCTATGCGATGATGATTAGTATATGTTAAAAAAAGACCGATACCTAAGATATGTTCGTGTTAGTCTGGAATACTTTCCGAATATCATCGTTTTGGTTTTGGGGCGGGACCAATTGAGCCTGGTCCATGGCAGGGAACAGCTGTTGAGGCCGGACTTACATGGGGCGACTTATCCCCACCATGGACCGCCCGCAACCCAAATCCCCTCTGGCCTATAAACATGTTGTCAACACAACAAATAGTATTTTATGAATGGAATACTCTGTCTATCTGTGATAATAGGTCATTGGATTTCTTTTATTTCATAATATAATCCTAGTTATAATACAATTAAATGTGTCCTAAGTGTCCTACATTCATTTCTAAATTAATAATAAGTATTCATCAGCTGATCTTTAAAGTGGCCATCTGTTTACCCAAGTCAAGCTATTATTATTAAATTAAAAAATACAAATTTGCATCAAAAACACAAATACTATCAAAGGTTTTGAGGTGCAAAGCTTAACCTAATATGTAAGTTATACTCTAGTTATTATAGTCCCAATAATCAGTCATAGAGCTTAATATAAAAGGTACTGATTAATAATATTTGAAACAAACCTATAAATATACCTACCTTATTCATCCAGGAATCAGGCTATACTTTAAATTGCTGCCCATGAATCAGAATCCACTGTTGATAATAAAAAGGGGCTTACCCAACAATTGTTCCTTTAAACTGCCAAAACTTACAACGGAACCTCGAGCATTACCTTCCAGAAGATAGAACGTAGGATGGTCTAGAATAGGGGAAGTCTATCCTGTAATTTGCCACCAATGGGGGTGGTATAGTTAGGCCTCGAAACCAGGACTGGGTTTGAATACTTAAACGGTCATAAGCAAGCAGATAGAAGCAGTTATAAGCCAGTAGAAGTAGGTAGAACAGATAGAGGTACATAGAGGTAGATGGAAGCCAATAGAGACACGTGCAATCAGTTATAGGGACGTGTAAGCAATTATGAGCACATGTAAGCAGTTATGAGCACGTGTGAGCAGTTATGAGCAGTATGAGCAAGCCTAAAGAGAATCAAGTATAAGAAAGGATTTCTGATACAAATCATACAAGGGGTAAGTTAGGACAATTAATGTTAATAGTTACATTGTCTGAGTAAGGATGGCTTTAAGAAGGGAACATAAAGAAACTAAGAAAACTGAGAATTCTTACCCTTGTTGTTGGATGGCCTTCTAGTGGAAAGTTAAATTGTAGCCGTACCAGTCAATTTTAACTTTAATTATGTTAAATCGGCATACAGCTAGAATGGTTGCGCAGCGTAAGAAAGGCAAAACAAAACTTAATTTCAAAATTAAAGTGAAAGCAGGCTACGTAATAAATCGGCAGAGCCAAGAAGAAAAATCATCCACCTGGTCAGGAATCTTCTTCTAAAAGAAAGAGGTTACAAATCCCCTCTAGAATCTTGTCAATTGAGAGAATTCCAACGATCTAAGTTGAATTACCCAAGACGTCATTGACATCTTTGTGAATATGGAACTGATAGAACCAATGGTAGAACTTATTCTAGAGTAATGTAAACTTTCCTATTTAATTAAAATATCCAAACTATTTTTCCACTCTGTTTTATAGGATCTCAGCTCATCAGAACTAGAACTCCTGAAATAGCTGTCTAGCTCTCAAAAACAATAAATCAATTACCTACTTTCAAAAATTAACCAGATGGTACCGACAATTTTTAGGAAGTCACTGAATACATTTTTGGTAAAAGACAAAAACCATAAAAGCAGAAAACTGCACATAAATAAGCTACCTATTGTAAGGTTTCATTTTACCTCTTCTTTTTTGTTCCTATATTTGTTTATAAGAAGAAATCCTATTTTATTGTTGAAAATTTACCATTTAAAATTATTTGCTTGCGGTAACAGATGGAACAACCGATGAGTTTTATGTTTTAAATGTACATATTCACTTAAGCCTAGTTCACAATAATAATAATATTCTAGCAAACGGAGACCTGTCAACAACTTAGAATAATTAATTACATAATATTGATCACGAATTAATTTGCTATATTGAAATCAAGCCAATAATCGGATTGAAATTTGAACCCGTAACAAGAGGCTTCAGATGCCAGACCGTTAGAAACACCAATAAAATTAAATTCAGCTTTTTATCGAATCATCATCATTGTTGCTATTTATTGAATCAAATCAATTTAATACTGATTCCGTTCATCTGAAGGAAATGGAAAAGCTTGACTATCTTATACACTGAAGGCCGATTAAAGTAAATCAGATGGAACTCGATTGAAAACTGGGGCATCTCTACTGCAAGACTGCAATAGGTGTCGATTCAAGAATTGAATTGTAATAATTGTAAAAATCGTTTTCCGGATTGAGCGAGGAAAATGCATTTTTGATGCCAATCGGATAAATTTGAGGTTTTACAATTCACTATTTTTATTTCATTGACTCTTCATAACAAAATAAATTTAGCATATTAACAAGAAAAAATATTATATTTTCTACCAATTAACCTGTCAGGACCGCACGCGTATATTTCCATGTTGCAAAAATAAATAATTGAATAAAAAATTCAATCAGCCAGTATGCATAATGCACAAAACTGTATGTATCTGTCGCATTTGCATATCGGCGAAATTTTTCACATGCACTTTTAATCGGGATTTTTCACCGCAATAGTTTTTTTTACAACCTGCCGCTACAAATCTGTAAATTTAGTAAATTGCCCTAGGACCTCTATGTATTTTTCAATTGGCTATGCAAATTTAGCTTCCAGGCTTCTCATGTATTATGTTTATGATTTCTCAAAGCTGAAAATCAACTTAGGATAAAATCGATAATGTTTACAATGACATTGTTTCATTGTCGTTGTGTTTAGTACCGAAGTTTCCGACATGTGATGTTCCGGTGGCGCGAAAATTTCGAACAAATAGGAAGTTCAATGTTTCCGACATTTTTGGAGATATTGAGCATCACTTTGCATCAGGTTAAAGAGTATCGTATAATAACTTTGACACTGAACTTTATGGCAAATTTTATAGACCGATTTAGGATGAGAGTATGACAATTGTAATTTTTTTTTCTAGGAACGTCCCTATGTAATGGTAAAAGAAGATCAAAACCTCACTGGCAACGCACGATACGAAGGATTTTGCATCGACCTCTTAAAGTGGATTGCTGGACAAGTGGGATTCCAATATTCTATAAGACTTGTTCCGGATCACATGTACGGAGTGTACAATCCCGAAACGAAAGAATGGAACGGTATCGTAAGGGAACTGATGGAAAAGGTAACTTTGCTTGTGAATTTCGAAAAGTTCTCCCCAAGTTAAATTAATTTTCGAATTTCTTTTTTCAAGAGCTTTTTATTTTGATTTTCAGCGGGCCGATTTAGCGGTCGCCTCGATGACTATAAATTATGCAAGGGAGAGCGTAATTGACTTCACCAAGCCCTTTATGAACCTCGGAATCGGAATTCTATTTAAGGTGAGTTTATATAGTCAGAGTGTAAATTTGCAAATAATACAATTCGAACAGATTCTAGATAAAATATTAGTAGTAAGTAAGTGTGACACAATTCCTCCAAAATTCTTCAGGTGTGTCTGACTCAAAACATCCACCCTAAATTTGGAATATTCAATTACTTAATAGAAATAATTGATTTCACTTTTTAAAAAGCATCGAAATTTCCAACTACTTTTGGATAATGGTTGGATCCTCGACTAAATATTACGGGTTTGTTAGCTGAGCTTTTGAGACGGAGAACGAGTGGAGGGCTTCATACCGTTGTTGAAGGAATTTCGCAATAAATCAGGGTTTTTGCCTGTGGTTTCAATCTCATTTTCGAAACCCGGAATTCAAGGCCCGAAGCTCTCGGCTATAAATACGGTCCCGTTATTTTCATTGTAGTTTTAATTGAAATTCAAGATTTATTAAAGGGTTAGCCTTGACGAGAAAAATACGCAAACATTTTATGGTGAAATTTTTACGATTGATGGCAGAGCACTAAAAAAAAAAACAGCTAAAATCCAGATACTATCGACGATACATTATTAAAGGAAAAAAACCTGGGCTTAAGTTTATCATGACAAAGGCGAATTCGTGATCCCTATATCTCAACCTTTTTTATTTTCTGTTGCTTCTTGATCATTCTTATTGTGTCATGTTTATGATGTATTGCATCATTCGAAGTTGGATATAGCTTTCTATACAGCTGACACCCTCTTTAATAAAATAAAATTTGAAAAGGAATACGTAATGTGGAATCTGCGAGACACAGCTGTAATTCACAAATCAATCACAACAATTTGATTTCCATAAAACATACACAACTTCAAATGATTTGACGATTAATTTTTAAACCTAATTACGGATTTTGAGAAACAATCCATCAATTCGCAACCCTCGGGGCCCGAATAAATTGGGGCTTTCAATTTCCGCCCTAATAATTGACTTTTTAATGTGTGTGGGACATGCTTTCAGCTTTACATTTTCAGCCTGTTTTGAAGCTTAGTAATCGACTTTGCAGTCATCAATTATTAAAATGGTTTTTGAATATTTGTTAAAAGCCACCCTATAAAATAATTTTTTTTAAAACAACCTTGATAAACCTAATAAGCGCGCCTTCGTGGTCCGTTAAAGTTGAGCAACAAAGTTACAGCTTCGAAATCTGGACTTCCTGTAGCGAAAAACAAGAAACTTACTTTAAATAGTTAATTATTTAGTGAGTTTAAAGCGTTGGAAATTTGAAAAGTTTTTGTTTCAGTTTTCAAACCGCCAACAGTTCAACCTGAAAATAAAATTTGAATAGATGATGGTAATTTTGGTAAATAATTTAATTGGCTGTAAACTTTAATTTAGTTTTACTTGATTGCATACCCGCACTATATTTGAATTAAAATATAGTGACATCGAAATTCCGACTTACGCAAACCTGTACAATTTTCTTGAAAGCAAATGCAAGGCATTGGAATCTCTACAGCAGAGTTTGTCGAACAAAGCAATAAAACCTAATAATTTCCCTACAAATAATAAATTTCCGCAAAATTTCCAAAATTCCAAGAAACTTAATTCATCTTTTGCACTTTACAAGAAAGTTTCCTACGGTTTTACAAATTCACAAATAAAATGTTACTTATGCAAGGAGCCTTTCAAGATGTTGCAAATTTCTAGAAAAATCGGCAACGGATAGGAATACCTACGTCAAACAGAATAAATTATGTTCCAACTGTTTGCATCATTCTCACAGTGTACAGAACTGTACTTCTAATTTTCGATGTCGTGTTTGCCGTAATAGCCATCATTCCTCCTTGCATATTACGTCCCAATCTTCAGTTCCGTCTTCAAATGTCGCTATTCCTAGCCCCCTGACTATACAGAATGCACGAGGGGAAAATTCAACCACATCACTAACCCTGTGTGCATCTGAAACACTCCAACAACAAGCAGTACATATTGGTAATGCATTTGCAAAACGAGGTACAGTGCTTCTCGCTACAGCTACAGTGGAAATTCAGAATGGAAATGGGGTTTTCCAGCCAATACGTGCACTGATCGACAGTGGTAGCCAATGTCATTTTCTCAGCGAAAAATGTATACGCCGCTTAGGTTTATCAAGACGTCACTTCGTCACGTCTATTTTTGATCTTAACCAAATGTCATCCTTTTCTTCGAATGGGTTGGCGCAGTGCACCATTCGATCACGCAATAAAGCCGGGCTCAGACGACTCGTCTACTTGGCGAATACACAATTATTCGCGTACTTGGCAAGTATACTAGCTTTGCGAATTGCAATGGCAAGCAGGGCGCTCACACGACGTGTTCAATTTACAAGTACGCGAGCGCGAACATTTGGCTCAACCTTGATGCTCGTCGAAAACTAAATGAAATAGTCGCAGTAAAAGCCAATTATTTGTGCATCTCGTTTGAGCGCCTCTACAAGTATAGACAAGTATGAACTTGGCAAGTGTACGAATAATCGTGATCCCTTTGACTCGGGACATTTTTACCGACAAGTAATGGAAAACCAACGAGTGACAAATAATTGTACAAGTAACCCACTCACACGACATGGCAAGTATAAGCAAGTAACGATTATTCGTCAAGTACACGAGTCGTTTGAGCCCGGCTTAATTCCAAAAAATTGTTTTCTTTCGAAGCGGTAGTGGTACCACAAGTTTGTTCCGATATGCCAAGCTGTAACTTGCAATACAAAGATTGGAAACATCTAGAAGGCTTGAATCTAGCAGATGAAAATTATTTCCTTTCAAGTCCTATTGATTTGCTGATTGGGGCAGAGCTTTTTACTCAAATTCTTGGTCAAGGTAGAAAAGTAGGTCAGGTAGGTCAGCCTACAGCAATTGAAACCGTTTTTGGATGGGTTCTACTTGGTAAAGTAGATAATATTTCACATTCAAACTCTCCCAGCACATTTTTCATAAACTGCGACGTACCCTTAGACGTAAGTTTGTGTAAGTTCTGGAAAAATTGAACAAGTTCCTTCAAAAACTCACTTGTCACCTGACGATAAAAAATGCGAAGATATCTTCAAATCTACCACTTCCAGGAGTTTCACAGGCCGATTTATCGTGTCACTGCCTTTCAAAAATTCTGAACCTGATTTGGGTGATATGTACCCCCAGGGTTTTCGCAGAGTCTCTCTGCTAGAAAACAGACTTTTGAAAAATCCGACCTTATATTCAGCTTATTCAGATTTTCTAAAAGAATTCATAGAAACTGGTCAAATGTCCCTTATGTCTCCAGATTCACCAAAACCTCCTTTATCGTGTTATTTACCCCACCACTGCGTTATTAAACCAGAAAGTGTAAGTACAAAATTACGTGTGGTGTGGGATGGTTCCGCCAAGGATCCAAGGGGTTTAAGCCTAAACGACACTTTACTTTCAGGTCCCAAGTTACAAAAGGACATATTCACACTTCTTCTTACTTTTCGACTTCATTCTGTTGTCTTTATTGCCGACATAAAACAAATGTTCAGGCAGATTCTGGTTACACGAGAACACCGAAACTTTCAAAAGATTCTCTGGAGATTTTCGCCCGACGAACCTTTGTCCGAATGGACATTGAATACAGTTACTTTCGGCCTTAATTGTAGTCCATATTTAGCCATGAGAACACTACAAGAACTCGCTACAAGGGAAGCTGCTAATTTTCCTGAGGCAAGCGAACTAATCATGAATCAAATATATGTTGATGATTTGCTAGGAACCTTCGGTTTCTGCTGCCCTTTCTTTACAAAAGCAGCTAATTGATCTGCTTAGCCTGGGGTGTTTCCAGTTAAAAAAATGGGCGTCAAATTTCCCGGAACTTCTTGCTGCAGTACCAAATTCTGATAGACAAATGTGTCTGTCATTTGAAAAGGACGACCCTCATTTTCTTAAGGTCCTGGGCCTTCAATGGCAGCCTTTTTCAGATACCTTTTCCTACCAATGTCAGTTAAGTGATAAAATTTGTACAAAACGTACAATTCTTTCGAATATCGGCCGGATTTTTGATCCACTAGGATTCTTATCCCCGGTTTTACTTTCAGCCAAATATCTAATGCAATGCTTGTGGAAATCGAATGTCGATTAGGATGAACCACCCCCACAAAATATTGTTAATAATTGCCTTCAAACTGTTGCTGAAATACCAGAATTTCAAAACTTACGCTTCCTCGTAGAATCCTTTCAGATAATTTTCGAAGGTGCGGTTTCTGCGATGGGTCCAATGTAGGCTATGGAGCCGTAGCTTATATCCGACTAGAGTCCTTGGAAAAAATTTCCGTTTTTCTCATATAATGTGCCAAAAGTCGGGTAGCACCGTTAAAAACTTTAACCATCCCGCGACTTGAACTTGTTGGTGCCAAACTTCTTTCTGATCTGATACAGGTGGTGAAGGATACTTACGCGGAGCAGATTTCGTTTGATGAGATTTTTGCCAGGTGTGATTCATAGGTTGTATTAGCATGGCTCGCTTCCCCTGCTTGTCGTTGGGAGACCTCCGTAGCAAACAGGGTCAACTACATTCAAGAAAAGGTTCTTTATCGTTCCTGGAATTACATACCTTCCGCCCTAAATGCGGCAGATTGTGCTTCTAGGGGGATGTCTCCTTCTGCCTTACTCAATCATGAAATGTGGTGGAATGGTCCATCGTTTCTTTCTCTACTGAGAAGTCAGTGGTATGAAAATGACCTTTTGACGCCACCTGTCGATGACACGGACGTCATTCAGGGCGAGAGAAAAGTCCATAGAAAAGTGATTTATATTCTTAAATAGAACATTCACTGGATTCATCCCCTCCACTTTTTGTTTTAGTTCGTGACTACACCGCTGTGCGCCCATATCGCCGTTTCTTAACGTCCCCCTCGTTTTTATTCTAACCTGTGACTTCACCGATGAGTTAGCTATCTTTGTTTAGTGAATAGAAATTGACAATGACCGACATAGAATGGTGGATATAAAAACCAGTCATAAAAACGCAGAGGT